GCAAATGTTTTCCCCTGGGCCTCCCCAGCTGCTTCTATCCTTAGAACCCCAGAGGAGTTCACCATTGCTCTGCTGGGAGTAGGGGTTCTTGAAATCAGCCATGTCTGCCCCTGAGACCCCACACAGCTCAGTGGAGAGGTGGGCAACCTTGAATCAGCCATGCTTGCTGAATGATCCGTACCCAGAATCAGGACCCGCACACATAAGGAGGCTCAGTGTAGAAGCTGCCACCACAGCCACTAATAGAACCAGAGGGCCTGATATGGGGGCAGGTCTAGGAAGAAAGAGAGACACCTCCAGTGGGAAGCTCCTCTCTGTCCCTTTACCCCAGGTTTTAGCTTTAGCCTTGGACGCAGCTCAACTATTAACTTTTCCAGGATGCTTCCCACTTATCCTAGACAAACACAACCTCTCCCTCCTGAGAACCCCTAAAACACTTTACATCCCCCATGGCAATTGTCACTTAGATATATAGATATAGATATAGATATAGATATAGATATAGATATAGATATAGATATAGATATAGATATAGATATAGATATAGATGTAGATGTAGATGTAGATGTAGATGTAGATGTAGGTATAGGTATAGATATAGATGTAGATGTAGCTATAGGTATAGGTAAAGATATAGATATAGGTATAGATATAGATATAGGTATAGATATATAGAGATAGATTCATATATCTAGATAGATGGATAGTGCCCCTCCCACACTAGACCACTAGACTACATGCTCCCTGAAGGCAGAGCATACACTGATGCATCTCTAATCTTCTGCCCACACCCAGTATCCTACTCCCCCTCCCAGCCTGTGGCCCCAGGAAGCCAGACCTTGGACAATGGCAGAACATACCCGTGCAGGTGCTGTTATTCACAGCTAGCTCCATGCCCTCTGAGCACATGCATTTGACCAACCAGAACTCTGCCTGCCATTGACAGTCTTTCAAAAGGCGATGACTGCAATTGAGGTGCAGTTGGCTCTCCACTTCTCCGTGGTTCCCTGTGACTACGAGTAAAGTAACTGATATTGCGGGGTGAGGGAGGATGAGGTGGAGTGGGGTGGGGGGACACACACCTGCTTTTCCCAGCCACATGTTTAATTCTAACCCTGGGCTGTGGAACAAGGAGTCGTGCCAGGTATTTAAGGCTGGGTGGGAGGTCTTGGGGGGCTTCTGTCAGGCCTGCATACTCTCTCTGGAATCCTTGACCTTGCAGGAATTTGAGGAGAATTCATAGCAAGGAGATACTTGACAAGCACCCCAGCATGCCCCATACTAGCATCAAAACTGACAGCCCAGTTCCCCAATATTTCTGTGCTGTGCGAGAAGTAGGTAGTTCACAGTTCAGAGTTGCTGGCTCAGATAGGAGTGGGCTCAGGGATTGAGGAAAAGGGCTAGGCCAGGCTGAGAGGTGGGTGGCAGAGGCTACTACCTGCCAGAGGCTGCAGGGAGAGCTCAGCCCCTGGAAACTGAAAGTGATACGGGGAGGAAGGGGCACACAGCGGCCTCACTGCTGGGGAGGTGGTTTTTGAACTGTGTGGAAGCTGGAGTCTCCCAGTGGAAATCCCAGTATGGCCTCCTCTACACTAGCATTACAATACAGGTGCTGCCAGTTCAACAGTGGGAGCCAGGAGCCAGGAGCCAGGAGCCAGGAGCCAGGAGCCAGAGAGGTGGGGATGGAGTAATCACCGGTAGGCCCATCCCTGGCTGGTTGGGACACCTCCTTGTCTGTCTGATCCCTCTGGTCCCATGTCCTCAGCTATAAAATGGAGAGGCTGTATATAATGGGAGAAGATGTATATAAAGTATTTACAAAGAGTGCAGCCTGGACAGACACGAGGGCTCTGTTCCTTACATCAGTGGTTTCCAAACTGGACTGTACAGGATGGATTAGAACACAAATGGCTGGGACCCTCCCCTGGAGTGTCGGATTCAGTAGGTTGCAGAGGGGCTGAGAGTTGCATTTCTAACAACTTGTTGGTGCTGATGCTACTGGTTCGGGCACCTCACTTTGAGATCCACTGGTTTAAACCGTCCCTGGCTTTCTGCCTCTGCGCAGTTTGCCCGTTCGGCCTGCTCTAAGTTCCCAGGACAGCTGCAGAACAAGAAGCGGGTCTGTGATGATGGAAAGGTCCTGGATTTAAATGAAAATCTGGGGAGTGCTGTCTGGAAGTGTGATTTGCAACTTATCAAACCTCTTTTTTGCTTTTTCTGACCTCTTTTTCTAAGAGCTATTGCTCTACCTGCTCCGGCTTGGAGCAGTCTCAACCCCTTTCCCACCCATTCTTCTGAGGGACTCGGCCGGTTCTAAGGCGCTAACCTCCTTCATCCTGGGGGGCGGCCCAGCTGCCCGCCCCAAGGGTGTACCCACCCTGGTAGCCGCCGCCCCCACCCCCAGCTGCCGGCTG